AGGCAGGCCCGTAACCGAAATGCATCCCCTGCCACTTCAATCACACAGCTTTTTCAGGTGGCGGTGGTTCAAGGACAAGGTGGATTAAGGCCAAAATAATCACACTGTGACTCTTCTGAATGCATCTGAACTACTCCGGCGGTCTGAGCATGCATGGATCGCCGTGTGTTACACTGCAATGTAATCATGCAGTGTGTGATGCTGCAGCATGGGTGTGCACTGAATAGCAGCAAGGATTACAGCCACATTCGTTCCAGACAACTGCAGTGTGAGCACGCACGGATTGTCCTTTCCATCTTCTACGCTGCCTTGCAAGTACCGCGGGGTCCTGCACCAGCACGTCGTTCTTTAACAACAACAATAATGGTAGCAATAGCAAGGTTAATAATAACGACGGCGATGATAAAATCCACCAACATGATATAATATTTATATATAACAAGTCGACCCGCTGCGTGCGTAGGCGGGATTCTTCTTTCACCGGCCAGGCGGATGTTGTGCCACGCCCTCCTCGCACCCTCCCTCCGCCTCCGACAAACACTGTGACGCAGGTGATCCTATGTGCATTGGGTGGCGCTGTGGCTGGCAGGTCATAGTGTGTGGACCGGGAACAGTGCACTGTTGGTGGGAAATGCCACGTGGGTTGGGAGGTCTGAGCGATCAACTGCCCCTCAAAACAAAAACAAAAAATAAAAATAAAAGAAAGAAAAGTGGGCTGTGAGGTACAAACTACCGAATTCCCCCCTCGAAAAAAAAGCCCAAAAAGTGGGCTGGGAGGTACAGAAGACAGAAACAACCTCATCAGAACGAAAACCCAAAAATCTATGTTCCTCTTCACATTCATCTGAACGGGCTTTTAATCGAACACGAGTCGAGGCCTGTCGCGCCGAAAACAATTGCGAGGCAGAGCACAGGAAAGGAATAAGGGAAGGGCCTGAAACTGCAAGAAAAGATGATTTCTGACGATCACTTCCCTACAGGGCCTACTCGATATGTGCTTGTGTTTGTGCATAAGGTTACCACAGGACCCAACGACACATCCGCCTGCAAAGCACACGGAGCTGCAAAGAGGGGGGGGGGGGGGGGGGGGGGGGGGGGGGGGGGGGGGGGGGGAACAGCGGTCCATCCTCCCATGTTCTGGCGGGAGAATCATTCTCATACTCGCTTATGTCCTTGTATTCCAGCATGAGGATACAGGGGGGAACAGAAATAAAAAACGGACGGCGGTGTATTTTCCCCATGTTCTCATTCTGCAACTTTCTCTGTTTGTTTTTTTTTTTCCCGCTCAAAAATTTACATTTTGGTGAGTGCTGGAGTGAACGCCCGAAAACAAACAAACAAACAAACAAACAAACAAACAAACAAACAAACAAACAAACAAACAAACAAACGGTGGTTTACTTTAGTCATTTGTTCCCATGTTCTAGCAACTAGCGGGAGATTCATTTTCCTTTTTGCAGATTTGGTGAGTGCTGGAGTGAAGGCCCGACATGGGCTACCCAAAGAAAGAAAAAAACAAATATGCAGCAAAATAAACGGAACAACTTTTGCCTCAGGGTCACATCGAAATTCTTCATCATCAAATTCAGAATAAAAAATATGATTAAAAAATATTTATGATATTTTTATTTTTTTAATGTTTGGCCAGGCCGGGCAACTGACCCCGGGCCACTCTGGTAGCCTAGCGCGGTGTATGATTTTTTTGAATTTTTTCTTCTTGTTTTTTTGAGTTTTTGCTTTTTAACTAGAGTTTGGTTATGAATATCGATATGCCTCCTGGGCAAAAGTCGTTTGCATTATTACGCTATATAGCATTCTTTCTTTTGAGATTTTTTTTTCCCCCTTAATTTTTGTACGTACGTGTACGGGCATGCCAGACCACTGCCTCTATGAGCCCCATAAGGCCTCATTTTTGCAGCCCGTCGGCCGCCCTAAGTGAAGGCAGGCTCGACGAGGCCCTCAGGGCCCTTTTCTGGCCACCACGCAACTCAGGGAAATTCAGGCAGTTGCGCAGCGCCAGTTGGTTGAGTGAACCCAGGCCCTGGGCCGCCTGTGTGAATGTATGTGAAGCAGGCCCTGGGCTGGATACGGGTACCGGGCCAAACACAGGCCAAAGGCAGTTGGGCACATGCAACCACCTCAGGCCCAAGGCCTGTTCTCGTCCYGCTGGGCCTCAGGCTACCGGGGCCTACTGGAAGCTTCCTGGGACTGGACGCAGGCAGGCCACTTTGATTTAGCAAAGGGCCTGCCTCCCCATTCGGCATTCGGGTGCTGGCTGCATGCCGCGCAAGCGCTGCTGCGCTATTTGCTGGCTGGTGCCTACGCTCTCACGGGCGAGCAGGGAAGGAGCACGCAGCCATAGCCGAGCTGCGCTGCTGTAAGCTGGGTGAAGCGCAGGGTGGTCCTTGGGTG